AAGGCACCATGGGCCAGTCCTTCACTGTTTCCAGGGTGTCCCCATGGGCCAGATTTAAGTATCCCATGGGCTGGATTGCAGGCCTTGAGTTTGACACCCTGTTGTGGGGAAGATACAGGTATACTAAGTGCCTGGAAGAGATAGGTATACTAAGAAATGTTCCCACAGTTCTATTGTTCATGTACTGCCACACATTTGTGATATTTGTGATATACAATGTTTTATATTATACTACACTGGATTGTGATATTCCATTTCTGTTGAATTAGGTGATGCATCAAAGATGCTTGGAACAAGTATGACATCTGGTGGCTAAAACATAGTCTACTTCTCAGTTTTTCTTTATTTTTATTTCACTGGATATACATTTACAAGGGCCAATATTTTACAAAGCAAAAGTTGCTACTTTATAAAATGTTCCAGGTGGTGTTTTTTCTTTTCTTTTCCACTTCTTTAAAGTGCAGGGCATCCATTACTAATATAATTGCTAAGAAAATTCTAATATGTCACTGTTCTAGGACTTAGAAATGGAGTATTGATGGTAACAGTTAGTAAATGAGGCCCAATGAAGTGGTTTGGAATAAGGGTTATGTTGCAAGTCTAATTGATTGAAATTTAATTTAATTTGATTTGATTTATAAAACTATTCTATTGTCAAATGACTCAATCCCATTATATGGTCTTAAGATGAATACTTTGTAGTATGAGAAGGCCCTGACTTTCTAAATATTTTTTTCTTTGTTTCTTCTCTTCACTAAGAGCAGGAAATGAAAACATTGCAAAGCTTTCTAAAGAAAGAAACAATATAACAAAGCAAAGATTCAGTTTAGGGAGTTTCAGAAACAATTAAGTAGTAATGAGAAATTGCATATATATAAATATGTATTACTTTGGTGCATGTGTGTTTGTGTCTATTTGTCCATGGCTTTTGTCCCTTTTTTGCCCATTTTTACCCATACAGCAATTTATTAATTATGTATTTTATATACAGGAGAGAGAGGGGGGAAGGAGAGGAGAGGCAGAGAGAAAGAGAAAAAGAGAGAGGGAGGAAGCACATAAACCTTTACATATTGTTGTGGCCCGCCAGCAGATTCAGACAGTGAGGAGGTTGGGAAGGAATATGGGCTAGTCCTGGAGTTTGGGGAAGGCTCTGACGAGTGCTCTGCATCAGAGGCAGAGATGAGACCAAGCCATCTGACAGTTATCAGTTGCCTTCGAAGTTGGATGTTAGTGAAGCAGTAGAACAGCTGGAGCCTGTTCCCAGTGTGCGCATGTGCAGATTTGCCAGATGAAGAGAACAGCTAAGGAACAAGGGTTGACTTGGGAGTAAAGCCACAGGTGGATGGTGAATGGCCCCTCCCATAGGGAATAAAACAGGAGCGAAAGGGGAGTAGGGTTTTTCAGGAAACAATTAGTTCATTCCTGTATTCTTGCCAAGTATTTTGGTGTCTGAAAGATATCGGTCTGGCCACTTTCCAAGCCTGATAAAGGTCTGTAATTGTGAACTATCTTGAAAGACTGTTGTCCAGGACTTTGCTGGAAAGGAATTCACTGCAAATTAAATAAAAGGGGTTTATCGAGAAGAGGACTCAGCTTCGTGCTGTTGGGGAAACCTAGGTCAGAACACATATATAGTTTCTTGCTATTTCTCCACATGCCTGTTAACAGTTGTGGATTAGGGGCTGGGGAATGGTTCACTTACCTCAAAAGTGATGTCCTTACTTTACCACAGTTTGAAAGACAGTTGCTAAGCAAGGATGTTTATTTTGAAGAGTTATGGCGCACATTCCATTGACTGATTCTCATGAAGCTTATCCGAGGTTAGAGTAATTGAAAACCAAACAACTAAAAGTCCTGTTGTAAATACAATCAAGGTCTGTGGGGTATGTGTGGGAGTGAGGCATTTAAAAATCTCAAGATGGCACCCACAACTGGGCAGTGCAGTGCCCAATCCTTATATATTATAAAGGGTTCAGGGCTTTGATGGTCTTTGCCATAATCTTGACTATTTTGAACCCATCCCACCTTGCTGGCCTACATCTCTGTAATGAGAGCCAAAATATGGTTCTTAGGCTCGTACCTCGGTGCCTATTTTCCAATGAAACAGATCAGAGAGGAAGATCATTTTATTCCAATTTATTAAGAATGTTCTGATTAAAAAGGATTCCTCTCATTCAAAGAGGCAACCTCGAGATCCAGCTTTCAGTCCCTTTTATAGTCATCACAACAAAGAAAGTTACAAGAGAGAAGTTGATTGGACAGGACAAAAGTAAGCCCTCCTTTGCATAGAAAGTTGTTTACATGAAGTTAAACATTACATGTGATGACACATGTGTCCATTTAAATGAAGTCTGAGAAAACACAGGGGTATAAAATGTAAGATGTTGATGGGGGGAAAAGTCATAAGGTTGTTTGGAGTTCATGAAGTGACAAACCAGATACCAATTAGTGCTAACAAGCTTTCTTTTTTCGGGAGACAAAATCCAGATATCCCATCCTAGCCTCATCTGGGGAACAAAGACAGCTTTTTTATAATCTTGAAGTTTACGATGTCAGAATATATTAATCAAACCATTAACATAATTTTAAAAAGAGAGAAAAATAAGTCAAATTAAAATACAAAATAACTATGTTTGTTAGCAAGTACAATACTACAAAGCCTATGTTGTTGGTACTACAAAGTCCATCCCACATAGCCCTCGTTTATCCCCTTTGAGATTATAGGGTGAAAAAAATGAATCCTTTCAGCATCACCATAAAAGAAAATGTTGGAAAAACAAAAGCTTCAGAAATTTGGATCAACAGTAACAGAGGCCAAATGCACAGAAGTTTCAATTTAGAAAAGAAGTAATAGATTTTTTTTTGTAGAAAGCTCTCAAAAGTTGCAGCAGAGACTCTGAGTAATACTGCAGGCACTATGAGTAATATTGCAGGCACTATGAGTAATAACAAACAAATAAAAATCCCTAATATAACGATCAAAATAAAAACACCCCCAAAATGATTTCAACTATGTCAAGTCATGTAACTATAAAGCAATAACCTTTTTAAAAATGAAAGAAAAAGAGGCATCAACAAAATCTACAAAAAACAAAACACCTCCTGACTCTGATAATAGGCACAACAACCAGAAATGTTGAGCACACAAACTCCTCCTTGATCTGCCCATAAAAAGTCTAGAGCAAGGGTCTTCAAACTTGACAGCTTTAAGACTTGTGGACTTCAACTCCCAGAATTCCTGAGCTAACATGACCGGAGGAGGAATTCTGGGAGCTGAAGTCCACAAGTCTTAAAGCTATCAAGTTTGAAGATCCCTGGTCTAGAGTCTTGCAGTTCTGAATATTATTTAAAGACACAAAGGAGACTTCTCTTCGTAATCTCCTAATAGCATTGTCTATAACATCGACATAAATTTCACGTGATGTAGAAATTTTGAGAAGGGAAAATTCTAATTCAGCACCCTAAACCTGGCAAATGCCAACACAATACAAAATGGAAGGGACATGTCCATTTAACCCAGTGGTCTCCAAACTTGGCAACTTTAAGACTTGTGGATTTCAACTCCCTTGAATTCTGAGAGTTGAAATCCACAAGTCTTAAAGTTGTCAAATTTGGGGACCCCTGATTTATCAAGACAATTGTGTATATGTCATTCCATGTTTATGTCATTTGGGGATTTTCCAGGCCTGTTGCTGTAGCACTTGGTTGTATCCACCAGCAGGAAAACAGGTTCTTCTTTCCACAGGGAGAGTATGCAAATTCCTCCATCTTAAGGAGAAGTAAATCCAGAAGAGGAGACACCTTTGTTCTTTCTTCCAGTTTCTGATAAATGATATTGGCAGAAAAAGAAGACAACATTTGTTAGACTTCTGATTCTTGGCAGGTATAGTTTCCCAGCAGATGTCAAGATAATTGAATTCCTCCATTATCCCTAATTCATAACTCCCCCCCCCCAAATATTGGACATTGCACCCAGAAAGGCTTCGTCCATATATTCTGCCTGCTCAAGCAGCTTATAATAACCAGCTAGAAATCCTTGATGGTGTCATTTTCAATTCCCTCATGTTTTTTTTTACTCTTATTTAAACACACTCAACGGGATTTGCATACTTTGATTTGTGAACGTCTAAGCAAATATACAGTACTTTTGTTTTAGTTTCAGTGCAACAAAACATTCACCCTTAATGTTGGGTTTGCACCTTTTTAATATATTGTAGCCTTCTAGCATTGTTATAAATTATCTGAGTTACTATTTGTGACCAAGGGAAATCGAATATCAATTTACATTGCTAGCGAATCAATGATTCAAATATGGTAAGTAATGGAAAGTAATGTAGGTAAGTAACTGGGAATAATATCACATTACATTGGAAAAGCCAATGTACACTTAAAAAACTGTTTTGTGGTAGATTCTACCAGGGAAGGGTAGATTTATTCAGTGGCAAAGTTTATCACTCTGCGCAGGCTAGAAAATTAGAATACAATCACAAGGTTCACTGGAAGACTTCTGATCCAGTCATCGACCTATTCCCCTAAAACCTTAACAAGTGACCAATCATCCTGGTTAATGGACAGTCTATAAGGGTGAGGGAATGGGAGGGTAAATGGGAATCGATTATTGCAATTGTTCAAATAAACTCATTTCTTTGATTAATCAAGAACTGTCATGTTCCACGTTCTCACAGCTTACTATAGTGTAAGATCTCAAACCTTTCAGGTTTGATAGAGCACAGCCAATCCGATATACTTCGAAGTAAAAAGTGAGAGGGTTCAGATTAGACTCTACAAAAATAGGAAAATGGTCCCAAAGTAGGACCATTTAGTAAGTGTAAGACCTGTCCTAGTGAAGAAGACAAAAAGAAGCATACATTCTGGCAAAACAAACACATAGAGACCTTGAATAGCAATAGCACTTAGACTTATGTACTACTTTATAGTGCTTTACAGCTCTCTCTAAGCGGTTTACAGAGTCAGCATATTGCCCCCAACAATCTGGGTCCTCACTGAAGGAGACAAAAAGAAAATTTGAGGAGCAAATGGCCAAAATTGTGATGACAGATAACAAAAGATTCTTCAAATACATTAGAAGTTGGGAATCCGCCAGGAAGACTATTGATCATTTGGATGAAGAAGGAGTCAAAGGTGTGCTAAGAGGAAAAAAGGAAATTGCAAAGAAGTGGAACAATTATTACTTTTTTTCCACTGTTTTCTTGGAAAAAAATTAGAGACAGATCTCTGAGCCTGAGCTCCTGATTCAGAAGGGAAATCAGACAAAATCAGCAGTACAAAGGTGACAAAAACAGAAACACTAGACCTTACTAACGAATTGAAAATTGAACTTCAGCAAATCACCAGCTCCTCTAAGGGTTATAGAACTGGGATTGTGGACTTCCTAACAAAAGTATGTAGCCTTTCTCTACACTCAGTCTCTGTAGTTGAGGATTTGAAGTTAGCAACGCGATATGCCAGTCCTGGATATTATTCCATACATTTTCTTGTGGGGCTTATCCCATCTTTTCCTTCTTGAGCCATGATCACAAGTCCTAGTTTGGAGGAAAAGCCATCTCAAACCTCTCCTCTCAGCAGTGGAAAGGTATGTCACAGTGTCACAGGGTCAGTTTTTTGAACTGGAGGTGTACTGTTTTGCAAGAATAGCAATTGACAAAGGAAAACAAGATAGTGTAGGCTTTTATGTTTTTACTATAAATAGTGATATTATTTAGAGCAAATACATACAACACACTAGTGGGTGTTCACCTACAGTCACGTTTCCTCCCTGAGACTATACTCCTCCACTTCTCTATCTCCCTCCCTGGCTTGACAAGAGAGAGTGAAATAAAAGGAATTGACTTGAATTTACTGTAATGTGCTGGACGTGGCTTGACCTCTGCCTGGAACTGCTCAACCAAACACCTACTGCATTGGGAAAGAGCCTCCTTCAAGTCTTCTCCACCAACAGCCTGATCCAAACTTCCTGAGGATCTTCAGTGAAGCTGCCATCAGCAATTCACCAGATTCCTTCTTCTCATTGTTGTATCTTGGGTGGAGGTCTTTTCCTTTTGTGACTTCCTTTCATCAGGGAAGCCCCCATTCTTCATCCTGACCAGGAACCAACAACTGCTCTCTACATTTCTATCTCTGACTTTTCTTTTCAGCTGCTTTGTTCATTCCATGCACAGGCTTTTTCACTCTAGTCCTCTCTGTCTGTCTGTCTGTCTGTCTGTCTGTCTGTCTCTGTCTCAACACCTGTATATACCAGCCAGGACCAAGGGACATCTCACCATACCAGCCCTGATTAGCAGCCAGGTCAGTTCATAAAAATATAGAATAGAAACATAGAATACTGACAGGAGAAAAAGGCCCACTATCTCTGCTGGAAATTCGTTTTAAGCTTCCGCTACCTTTTTTGTGAAGTTAATACTTTCTAATATTACTTTTGACTTTCCTCCTGATAGTTTGAGGTTATGATCCTGTGTTCTTGATTTTTCCTTAATATTAAAAATACTGCCCTCTAGTGCCGCCATCAAGTCTTGTGACAGCACAACTGCCCTCCAAGGTCAGAGGTGAGCTTCTTTTCTCCCTTTCTCTCATTCCAATGTCTAACTCACACTAACAAGAATATCCAGGCCAGGCCAGTATATCATATGCCATTAAGTATGAGGGTTTTTTTTTAAGCATTGATTTTTCAGTGCTTAAAAATTTGAACCAGAGTTATAATATCTAAGTGCAAAAATCCAGATGATTACTAGATAGCATTATTTTTTTACAAGGACCAATTAGTACTCTATACTATTGAGTTCCCCTTGGAAGCGAGAACTAATTATTGGTGAAGTTCATTTACTTTTAAGATACTACTTTATCCTGAAAAGCAGTTGAAGGAAACAGCTTGACCAGGAATAACATAAAGAAGGAGCCCCAAGAATGAAATAAATAATAATATTTGAAATCTCAGTGTCATACCTTAATTTGCATTGAAGATGCTTGTTTACTCGTTAGCTTTAAAAGACAAATATCTAGTATTGGATGTGATATCTTTATGCCATATCTGAAATATGATTTTAATGTAGAAAACTGAAATACTCTCCACTGCTGAGTTATTATGGCTCTTTCATTTTCAATCAGAAATGAAAATGCAATCCATTTATTTTCCTGGAACTCTCATAAACTTAAACTACAGCTTGTGGCTCATTGATAATGATTTCTCCCCCAAGAAAATATCATTATGTTTTCCAATAATGAAAAAGAACAGAATGCATAGAGGTAAAAATAACAACAGGAACAACAATTAACACAAATTTTAAATTCAGAGGATAATAAAACTCAAAGACAGTTCAGTGGGTAATTTTAAACAGACTATTTATTCTGGAGGCATAATACAATGTGTAAAAAAAATATAAGCAACTTAAGAGTATATCCCATTCATTTATTATTGAAATATAGCTACATTTTTCTTTATTTGGCATGCCCAACATACAATCATGAGGAAAAAGATTATTTCCACTATAAATGGGAGGGGGAGGAAGAGGAAACATTAATTGAAGTTTTGATTATAAAATATGGCTTTTTCTTTGTAAGTCATCTACCATCAATGGTAAGTAGATTTATCTACTTTTATTTTACTCAACAAAATCAATATTTGCCAATGTAAACATAACTCCTGAATATTGACAACACAGAGATTAAAGAGTGTCAACTATAGGAAGAGGATTACATTTTACAACTTGAACAACCATTAATTGTGAATGAGAAATTTCAACCCATATTTTGAATTTGAATTACCAAATGTATGTAGTTTAGAAAATGAGGTAGTAGATCCATGAAAGAAAATTTAAGGACAGTGTGCTAAAAAAAGCTCATATTCCCATAACTTTCAGCTAACTGTTGGTAAGCTCCCAGCCAGCCAAGCAGGAGGGATCAAGCTTGGAACTAGCCTGGAGTCCTTGTGCAGCTGCAAGAGGCATACTCCCTCTCCGTCCCACAAAACTTTACCTGTTTGTTCCCAAGAGAAGACAAGCATTCTGGGGAGATAGGTAGTACACAATAAAGTTATTGACTTAGACACTTCACAAAAAGATCTGGTTGCTTTCCCCTGACACTAACCCAAGCCGTCCTCCTGAACCCAAAATCACATTTTGGGAAACTCAGAACTCCCATTCATTTTTTTCAGAAAGTGTCCAGTGTCCCTTGAGCTATATATATAGATATAGCTATAGATATATTGGCAAGCCTTCACATCATTACAAGCATGAAGTCATCAACAAAGTTGATATATCCTGGCCATTGCATCAAGGATTTAAGAAATGCAAGAAATTTAGAAATAAATACCCCTGCTTTTTGAACTGTTCTTTAAATACACAAAATATATCATGTCATAGGGTTGGGTGTTTCCACAACATGACTCACTAAATAGCATAACTTTAATCCTTTATATGTTCGGATCAGCTCAGCATTGAATTTAAACCCCTGTGGGTTAGTTCACTGGATCAAGTGACTACTTTTTTATACAGTACAACACATGAATCCTCTTTCTGATCCAGGTAAATGTGCGATCCACCCAGTGGTAAACAATGCAACCGCTCCAATTTTTCATTTTCTGAAATAGGAGTGTACACTTATAACAATGTTTACCTCTGTATGGATCAAAAACTTCACTTGCTGATTTCTGCTCATCAAGGTGTAGTAAATAGATATGAACAGGAAATTGTATTTTTCTCATAAATTAGTGAACCCATCCAGAAGTTCCCAGATGGCTTTGCAATAGCCATGAGTGTGGATTATTGCAGGAGAAATTCCTGCAAAATCTTGAATATCATTAATATAAAAAAATGTGCACATTGGTTAGTGTGAATTTTGGGGGTTTTTGTGACTAATTCAAAATTGGTAGGTGCCTTTTTGGGATGATGAGTGGCTCATTGCAGAATGGCTCATCTCCCCTCCTGCACTGCCATCATCTCTCAGATAATAAAGACTGCAGTTTTGCAGTATAATCAACAATATGCTTGTCTTCTAATGTCAGACAGGTTAAGTTTAGCAACTCTAGGCAGCAAAAAATAGTGATAATTAATCGGCACAAACTACCCATGTCTATTATGACTGTAGCTAACAGACTGCTAGCCATTAGGTACTTGAGGACTGTGATTTGCACATATACACATACGGACAAACTTTCCTCTCCCTGAACCTTTTTATTGTACAGTTCTCTATTTGACAGCTCTGACATTGACCTTTCCTCCTGATTTCCCAGGCAACAATCCTTAAAAGTCATCCAGGACATGGAACAGCCTCTTGACTGATCCTTTTGTATTTGGAATGTTCTGAAGTTTGGGTTAGTAGGACTATTTAATTGGGTGACTTTTGTCAGTCCACTGCACAATCTGGAGTTAGTCATTTTCCTTATTTGTACTCTTGACCTGTCTTTTCTCTGCTGACGTTGAATGGGAAGTACATAAACATTAGGCTCAGCCATTTCCCCTGCATTTATCAGCAGCCAAAGTCTCCTTGGCACTGGCCAGAGACCAATGCCATCAATCTCTTTGTTGTTCCATAGCATAAAAAGAAAAAGAAAAGAAAGAAAGAAAGCTTCCTTGTTTTGTGCTTTCCCTGACTTTGAAGATAAATAGGACCTTTGGCTGGAAGATGTTGATGAAGTATGTGCAGGATTTTTGAGCAGGCTTTTGTGGAAGCCTTTTTGTTCATTTTTTTCTTCTTGCAGGAAAGAAAAATATTCCAGATCAAGGGAAAATTGCCAATGTGGCAGAGTGTATTGCTTAGGGGAGACCCTACAGTATTACCTGACATTGGTTCTGCAATATACAGTATTATATATATATATCTTCCTTTTAATTTGGAAACAAGATATGAAAGAGAATTTTGATGAGTTACTTAGAAATATTGACTGAGATCTGATGCCTCTGAGAGATATCGTACAAAGTCAAGTTTTAGCATTGAAATGTTCTCAACAATCTTCACCTGTAACTTTACACTGTTTTATTCTAATGTGTGCATGTGTGGGTGGGAGCGAGATGGCTGGCTGACTCTTTAACTCTCTGTGATGTAGTGGCGTTGGGGGGGAAATTCTTTAAATTAAAGCTGGAAACTCCAATAGCAATAGCACTTAGACTTACATACTGCTTCAGAGTGTTTTTCAGCCCCCTTTAAGTAGTTTACAAAGTCATCATATTACACACACACACACACACACACACACACACACACACACACAAAACAATTTGGGTCCTCATTTTACCAACCTCAGAAGGATGGAAGGTTGAGTCAACCTTAAGCTGGTGAGAATCTCACTGGTGGCAATTGGCAGAATTAGCCTGCAATACTGCATTCTACCTCTTGCCTCACTAACTTGGGAATCTTGATGTATGAGGGAGACCATGAGATGTTATGAAGATATTGTATAAAAGAAAATAGTGGTCAAAAACTTTTTAAAAGATTATTTTATGTTTCTTTAGCAGATGTGTGGTAAAAATTTCTCAGAAATATATATTTTATTATAAGGTAGAATTATTCCAAATTAAATCTCTGTGTGTGCGTGCATGGTGGGTGGGTGTATTTGTGTGTGTATTTGTGTGTCTGTGTGTGTGAGAGAGAGAGAGACAGAGAGAGACAGAGAAAGAGAGAGACCACTGGTAAGCAGTAGAATATTTTGAATAATTGTTTTGTACTAGCATTATCATCTTGGTAATCCAAACATCAATGGGAAAGTATGCCTAACAGAGAGGACAGTTTTTAGATCAGCCCTCTGGTTCTCTCTCTTCTAAATGGATCTGGAACTTCAGAGAACTTCAGAAGTCTATGTTTTGGGGAACCTTTTAAAAGGAGGACAGACTTCTGCAAAGGAAGACATGTGGCCAATTTAAAATGTGAACATTTCACTAGCTTTAAAAAGTTACAATTCTTTGGAAAGATAAAAATCATGTCAGCAAGCCAGGATTATTCTAGCCTCAGGAACTTTCAGATGGATGGACTTCAACTTCTAGAAGTTTCCAGCCAGAGTTAGGGTTAGGGAAATTCTGAAAGTTGTAGCCCACCCATCCTAAAATTGCTGAGTTGAGAAACATGGCTCCAGGCCTATATGTGCAAAACTAATATGTACTGATAGAATGGAACAGTGTGAAGAACAGTTCTTAACTATGGTGCTTCAGTGACTAAAGCAATAAACTGGAATGAAAATACCATAGAGAGGGGAGGATGATATGTAGGTAAACATGCTTGTTTCATTGTGATAAAGTCTGCCAGAAGACCATTCCCAAAGCTTCACTTGCCAATCATTCCTTGATTAGCACAGCTTGAGCATGATACAGCATAAAGATTCGAGCAATTCTCTCCTAGAGGTTGAGCAATTGAAATGGAGTAGCAGGGAATTATATCTGACCCTCCCCTCCGTCCAAAAAACAAAGCAGAGTTGGATTTTGAATTGCTTTAATGTAATAAAGCAACCAAACATAGTTTGGCTCCTGAGGAAGACTTCCATAGTGGAAAAGAAATCATGGTGACTTGCAATTTCCACTCCTGATGAATGACAATGGGCCTTCCACAGCACACAGCTTCCAGCAGACATGCCGACTCTAGGTGTTCCTAAACCCTCTCAGCCTTTCCAAAATAAAGATTCCAACCAATTTTTATTTTAACAGCCCAGGATTTCACTACCATAACAATAGCAACCTGGAGCAAAGGGATTGAGGACTGCTGTTTTCCTTGTGAAAATGATAACTGCTGGTTTATAAGGCAATAGATGAATCCTTGGCTCAGTCCCATATGTTCCTTGGGGGAAATGACATGGGAGAACACGAAACCGGGAGTTTTCCCATAGGAGAATAAAACCACAGCATGGTTAGATTTACCAGCTTATCACACAGCAGTCTGAGTCCACATAATGCCCAATGGCTACCTTGCCTTTTTAAAACCGGGATGATTTATCTAAGTCTTTGAAATTGGCATTATGGTACTACCCAGATTTCAGTAGGCAAAACACAAAAGGGAAACAGCTCAGGCAATTTAATTTTTCACATGCATAAAACGATATAGATTTTCTTTCTTTCAAAAATCCAATGCTTGCAAACCATTGAAATAAGAACAACAACAACAACAGCAATAGCATTTAACAAATCATATTACCAGGATTTTCAGGGGTACCAGGGATAAATACATGTCTAAATTTAAAAATTCCATAGGCAGCAATCCTTACCACTGACCCCAAAGTCATTTTATTTAGCTTAAATAAAATTATACAAGGGCTTAGTTTGCAGCCTCCCACGTCATTGAAAATCCTACCTGATTGCTTATCTTTGATTTTAACCCTGAAAGAGAGAGAGAGAGAGAGAGAGAGAGAGAGAGAGAGAGAGAGAGAGAGAGAGAGAGAGAAGATAGATAGATGATAGATTAGATAGATAGATAGATAGATAGATAGATAGATAGATAGATAGATAG